AATGAAGCTTTGGATAAGGATCCGCATAGAACGCTCAGTTGCCAATAGTGAATGCCATCGTCGAGAGAGCCCTCACGAAAGTCTTTCTTCAAAATGCCGGGAACATCTTGATAATACCCAAATTGACGACTGAATCGATGAGGACTATATGGCTCTATAAAAAAGCGATTGCCTTGACGCCACGTTAGGTAGTTAGACCGAATCGCCATGAAGTATCTCCATTCGTATCCAGGTCTTCGTTGATCATCGACGTATCGGGAAGTCTGGTCATTGATGATGATATTGCAAGTCCATAAAGCGGAGTCCCCCTTGTGGATACGTCTGCGGGCTTCCTCGGGCTCAAAGTGTCTTGCGCCGTTCTCACCGGAATATGTCACCATCATGGGCTTGCGCGTCTGACCAATTGCGAAGTGAGTTTTAAAATAGAGTGCCAGCCAGCCGTAAACAAAGTGGACGGGAAAAATCGATCGAGATGGACTTATGCAGCTTGTAAATTCGTTCAGCCCCTTGTAGATGCTCGTCAACACCGGAACCGCGAGACCAACCGTCTGACCCTTGACCATCATGCTTGCCATCTTGAAGGTGCCCGGACGAATTATGTCGACATCGTTGTTAGGAAGAACGAATGTGCATATCCAACAGGAGAGGTAGGCCGCCAAATGAATTTCTTCTTGCAGCTTTGACTCGGCCACGACCATCTTCTTGAACAATAGATCTTCGGCGGAGGTCCAGCGTCGATGTTCTTCGAAGGTGCCGGGCGGATTATAGGTTGACTTGAGGCGAATTATCCTCTTCTTCTCTCTGTTCCTCTTGTCAGCACGATTGGGGGGTTGTTTGTATTTGATGGGCTTCTTCGACCAAAATTGCACCCATCGATCGATTGACACTTGTCTGTCGCCGGTTTCTTTGCACAATAAATGATAGGCGTGGAAAAGGTATCTGCAGCAGCGGGGGAGGCATAAATTCTTGTCTTTGTTGATCCCGACCAACTCGTCTACATCCGGCACCACCTCGTCGAAAATAAACCCACTCGATGGAAGTCCTGCTAATGTATGTAGGTCCCATAGCGAAATTGAAAGCTCCCCGGAAGATGTTAAAAGTGTGTTGGTAGAAGGACACCACGCCTCGCAGAATGCCTTGATGACCTCGGGATTGCAGTCGTAGGTGAAAAGCGAAGCGTAAACAGCATCATAGATCTCTGCCTTGATTAGGTTGCTCTTGCACCGGCTAAGTATGTCTTCAGTCCATTCCCAGTATCCTCGCGTGTAGTGAAATTCGCCGGCAAAGTTGATGGCTTCTCCCCATGCAGCTTCACCTCGTGTGATGCGTCGTCCTAAAGTAGGCAATGGCGACGGCTCTGTCTCGTTCTGCTGGTTGTGGTGAGTCGCTTGCAAGATCCATGCTTTGGACTTCCCGTAGGCACACTCTTGAGTCCACTCGCTCATGGAGTTTTTAACTTTTGGCCACGTCTTGGAAAAATCACCAATGATTGGGTCTTCAACTGCAAAACGGGTCCCTTTCTCTAGCGGTTGGTACTTGGTGTCGAGGACTACTAGATATCTTTTTTCCCGGATACAAGTGCTTGTAAAGTAGACCATCTTGTTTGCTGAAATCACAAGAGTTAGAATAAAATTTGAGATTAGAATAGAAAAGAGAGCTAAGTAGCTTAGATTGAATAAGTTCGGTAAATTGACTTACAAGTATTTCCTCAAAGAAATTTGCTCGAAACTTGAAAGCTTGATGTCGACAAAAACGGGCCACGCACTAAAAGAAAAAAAAAATAAAAGACGTGATTAATCAAAAGAAAAAGGGGTAAGAGGAAAGGAAAAGAGCAGCAAACGGCTCCAAAACAGCCCCGAATCAACTCAAACGGCTCCAAAACAGCCCCGAATCAACTCAAACGGCTCCAAAGCAGCCCCGTTTCGGCCCGAACAGCTCCAAAATAGCATCGTTTCGGCCCGAACAGCTCCAAAACAGCCCCGTTTCGGCCCGAACAGCTCCAAGACAGCCCCGTTTCGGCCCGAACAGCTCCAAAATAGCTCCGTTTCAGCCCGAACAGCTCTCGAATCGCCTCGTTTCAGCCCGAACAGCACCCGAACACAGTCGTTTCAGCCCGGACAGCACCCGTGTAGCTCCGTTTCAGCCCGACAGCGGTTGGAGAAGCCTCGTCTCATCCCAAAAGGCATTGCGATTATCCCGGACAGCCATACGAGAACCCCAACGTGCATATAAAAAAGGGAGAGAGAAAAGAAACGGGGAAGATATGAAAAATCAGCTTGCTATTACCTTTCGGCCAATCCGTCGAGCACCTTAAGGTTAGAGACTTGTGAAAGCTATGTCTATGAGCTCTTTGATGCTGTGTACCGAAAATTTTCCTACAGCACCATACGAAACACCATCATCAATTAGCAGTTAAAAAAAAAAAAAAAAAAAAAAAAAAAAAAGAAAGAAACAGACAAAGGGAAGAAGCACCTGCTCGTGATTTGGTTCGTTTGATGAAGTATGGGGCTGGGCCTTTTTATAGAGGAGAATATGTGTCTATAAATGCTCTGATGATTGCACGATCTTGATGTTTAGGAAATAATTTTTCGACTTTGGAAAGGTTGAGGGTGGCAAGAAATCCAAGTCCTATTGGCTTCAGGATGGTAGACTACTGCATGGAAAATCTTGTTGAACATTCTCGAAAGGTGGTCTCATGTTTAAGGAATGAATATATTGAGTGGGTGATGGGTTTGGTTGCACGTGTCATCAAACAAATGATAATTAGGCAACTCATGATTCCCTTAACTCAAATATGTTGCTGCTGCTGCGAAATTGAATATATGAAATTGATGAAAAGGAAATACTTTAGTTTATTTAAGGGGAGGGCTCATGGGCTAAATTTTGTTTTAACAAGTTAAATGTGTGGCAGTTTGTTAAAGGACCTTAGAGATCAATTTTTGGGAATTGTCATTTACATACGTGATAATGGGCCCACCAAGAATTTCTTTGGGTCCACCTGAAATGGCTATGGTATGTTCTATTGGGCCTATGAACAAATTATTGGACTGTTCACGCAACAGGTCTCTTTTTGGGTTTTGTCCATAAATCTAGACTTCATTCCAAGCCCGATAAATGATGTCGCGACTTATTCACTCTAAGACACGTCGTCCGTGAACAAGTCTCGAGGGGGCATTTGTAGAGACATAAAAATTGTGGCCAATCAAATGGCGCCACGTGGAAATTAATTTATTAAAAATCAAGTTATATTTTCTATTTATATTTTAGGAATTCCCATATATTTAATTCCTAAATTTAAATAGTTAATTAATTGATATTTTAATATTTTAATTCTTGACCAATCAAATAATGCCAAGTGTCAGATCTTAATTCTTGGTAATAAATCATATGGCATCTAGAAGATCTTGGAAGATCTAAGTAGATCTAAAAGATCTTATGTGAATCATCATGGACCAATCAAATCGCGTCCTACGATTCTTAAATTTGGTAGGGTTCTCCATCCTACACCTATAAATAGGGACTCTCCCTAATGTCAAAAAAACACACATCATATTTCATATTCAAAGTTCAAGAGCTCTAGAGAATTCTCTCGACGAGATTCAAGTGTTCTTGAAGATTCAAAGGCGTTCTTGAAGATTCGAAGCAAGATTCAAGCGCGTTCAACCTCAAGACTGGCGTTCAATCCGGAAACAAGCTGCAAAGCCTCCGAATAACGTTAGTAAATTCAAAGCCGGCGTAGAGAAGATTCAAGATCTACTTTGCGACGAAGACCAAGGATTCGTGTTCTTCGCGTTCTTGGGATATTTCGACGTTTGATCCGAAATCAAGGCGTTGGCCCTCGGATTAACGTTAATTCAAGTCAAATCAAATCAAGGAGAAGATCAAGCCGAAGATTTCGCTCCAAGACTTAAAATTGTTCGTGAGAAGAATCAGAGGAGAAATTAGAGATTGTAACCCATTATATTTATTTTGATTCAAGAAATTATTTGAATAATATTTTTCGTGTTATTAAATTCAATACACGAAATTTGTTGTTACAAATTTTTGGCACGCCCAGTGGGACATCTCTACCTCTCATCTCTTTTCCAAAATTCCTCAAATCATCATGACTAGTCGCAAGATCGCTGTAGTCAAGATTCCTTCAACAAGTTCTTCAAGCTCCAACCTCGGCGTCGTTACAAGAAGCATGGCCAAGCAACTGCAAGCATCTTCGGAGACGACTCCTTTGCACGAGGTGATTGGAAGAGATAAGCTGTACCTTACCCACGAAGGCGATGAAGACGACTCCGCTTCATCAACTCCTCGCTCATCATCAAGCTCTTCATCAAATTCAAGCTCAAGTGTTGCTCCAGTTATGACAACTAATGCTTCAACTCTTGAAGAACACATCGCAAGCTTGACAAAGGTCATTGAAGGGCTCGCGAAGAAGGTCCAAGAGCAAGACTCTCAAATCTCAAAGCTAATGGACAAGGTTGACAATGCTGAAACAAGCCGCATGAAGGAAAAACAAGATGAAGATCGTGATGAGTCTGAAACTTCCAAACAGCAACAATTTCACGAAAGAGAGAAGACTCCAACATTTCAACATTCGTCTGATGGAATGATCCCCATTGATCAACTGAAGGATTTCATCATGGGGACAATTAAAGATAAGCTTGATGGTGGTTCCAAGTCAACTCACACCTATGCCAAGCCATATACTCCAAGGATCGATAACTTGAGGATGCCTATTGGATATCAACCTCCCAAGTTCCAGCAGTTTGATGGCAAAGGCAATCCGAAGCAGCATATAGCCCACTTTATTGAGACATGCAACGATGCAGGAACCCATGGTGACTATCTCGTGAAGCAGTTTGTTCGTTCACTCAAAGGGGTTGCATTCGACTGGTACACTGATTTGGAAGCAAACTCCATCGATAGTTGGGAGCAAATGGAACAC